TTTATAGGTTGGTCCGGCATGTCGCTATAAACATTAATCTCTTCTTTCGGCCCCTTAAACTTCCTTTGATCTTAATCCTTTCCTTGGATCCCTTAAACCCAGACCAACTTAAACTTACTGGGGAGTCTTACAAATTTTCCTCCTCTCAAGAACATAAATTCCGTAGTTAGCTATTCTTACCTTGCCTTGGTGTAATTATCTCTGGTTATGTCCTTCCAAGTTTCTTGAGGGTCCTTTTATACGTTGGTCCGGCATGTCCTTATAAACCTTAATCTCTCATATTGGCCCCTTAACCTTTCTTGGGTCTTAATCCATAACTTGGATCCCTTAAACCTTGACCAACTTAAACTTAGTACGGAGTCTTACAAATTCTCCTCCTCTCAAGAACTTATATTCTGAAAAGTTCGCTACTCTTAACTTGCATTGATGTAATTGTCCTTAGTTATGGAGCATGTTTAGGGGGTTAAATGAAGAGTTAAATGCTAAAATGCCCTTAGGATAACCCTAAGCTATTAGAGATCCAAAAAGTCTCCAAATGACTTAGGATTTGAAGTGAAGACCTTATTTTAAGGACACAAAGGTTTATCAATAAGTTAAAAGGAGTTTGAAATAAGTTAAGAACTTAAACCAAGAAATGGGTAGTAAATGATTAAAGTACCTCTATAAGGACCGATGTTTTCTAAGGTCCTAAAGAACTCTAAACGTTATGAAATCTTAAAAGAGAGACTATGGTTTATAAGGACATGCCGGAGAAGGATAACTTATAAAAGGACCCTCAAGAAACTTGAAAGGACATAACTAAGGACAATTACACCAAGATAAAGAATAACGAACTTTGGTTAAAGGGTACATTTTTAAAATAAAATTATGAAACATGAACGAAAGTGTACAATTACACCAAGACAAAGGGCATTATATGGCATTTAACTTATGAAACATTCTTGACATAAATCATAGTGCACGTGCCTCACATGAGAAATTTTATGGTGAGAGAAAGATAGGGTACATTTGTACAATAAAATTCTACGGGCAGTCCTTGAGTGGAAGTCATGGCTTGGTCACCTTGATGAATGCAAACTAATTTGTGAGGCGGGCAATCCAAGGAAATTATTTGGTAATATTAGAAAGGGAAAGAGCTCCAATAGATTTGAAAATCAAAAGAGATGACTTTTGCACCACGTTCGGTTGAACTTAAACGTTATAATTTAATACTTTTGTTGTGGAGGGCTTTTTCTTATTTTTCTTTGTTACATAAAAATATTGGAATAAAAATGTAGCCAATATGTTACTAATTTAGGCACTGCTTTTGTTTTGTCTTTACTACGTTTTACGTTTTGGTTTGTCTTCGTTGGCAAATTGACTTGGTATAACATGTTTATTCTATATATATATATATATATATATATATTTGTGCATGTATGCTCTCGCTATCGAACCATTTACAACTTAATGTATTAGTAGGATCCTTTCTAGGTTTCACTGTTATTTTGTGATGCATGATAGAATGAGTTCTTACATCAAAACATCATAAATTCTACTCTAATCATAGTGAATTACTCTTGATCGACAGTAAAATTTATTTTTCTTGCTACTGAGCCGATGATTTGGTCAAGATTTAAAGAAGCTAGCTGACTGTCCCCTAGAATTTAATTGTCCACAAGCTTCTTAAATCTTGACCGAATCATGAGCTCAATAGCAAGAAAAATAAATTTTGCTGCTGATCATGAACTAATTCACCATGATTAGAGTAGAATTTATGATGGTTTGATGTAAGAACTCATTCTATTAAGAAATGCATCACAAAATAACAGTGAGAGTCAGAGAGAGAATCTTACTAATATATTAAGTTGTGAATGGTTCGATGACGAGAGAATACAGAAGTGAGCATGCACACAAATATGTATATAGAATAAACATGTTATACCAGGTCAATTTATCAATGAACACAGACCAAAACGTAAGACATAGTAAAGACAAAATAAGAGTAGTGTATGAAGTTAGTAATATTGGCTACATTTTTATCTCAATATTTTTTTACGTAACAAGGAAAAATAAGAAAAAAGCGTTTTACACCTAATGTTGTAGGTTCAACTGAACGTGGGGTAAAAATCTCTCTTTTCATTTGATTTTCAAATCTATTGGAGCTCTTTTCCTTTCTAACATTGCCAAATAATTTTCTTGTATTGCTTGCATCACAAGTTGGTTTGCATTCGTCTTTCTGTCTATAAACTCTAAACTCTGTGACAAAGATGGTTTCCAATCTACAAAGTTCGAGTGTCACGTCCTTCTTAGTTCTTTGGCACTTCTAGCCTAAAAAAATGACAGCATTAGGAATTTGTTTCTAGAACAAAATTTTGTTAAACAGAAAGCCTTGTTTCAGTAGTTATTCTTGGCCTGCTTTTTAGAATATAGAAATTGTTATTTCTTTCAAAACTATAGATGTGCGGCATACATTACTAATTATAAATAAATTAGTCACCTAAACGTTCCTTCTAAGTTACTGTTCTCTTGAGAATTCTAATAACATGGTTAAGTTAAGGGCATGACTCTGATACCATGTTAGGAACCACGAATCTCCACAATAATATGATATTGTCCACTTTGAGCATAAGCTCTCGTGACTTTACTTTTGGTTTCCCCAAAATGTCTCATACCAATGGAGATAATGCTTTGCTTTTTGTTTTCTACTGATTGATGAAGATTGAGTGTGTCAAAGAAAGTCAACGTGGAGACCTAGTGATGAAAGTTCAAACTATTATTACTGTACTTATATGACACGAACACTTGATACTAAGAATTGTACAATATAAAAGCCCGCCAGACATCAAGATCCCATTTTCTATGTCTTTGGAGTGTTGTTATTAATGATTTGAATTAGCCTTCCAAAAGTTTTGAATTCTATATCATGAAAGGTGTTGAATTCTACATCTGGAAGCACCTCTCTTCTTGAATTATTGAAGTTGCTCATGTCATCATCATTGTTGACAGCACGTCTTTCCCCATATGTTGGGTATTAAGGGTTTAGAAGGAGGAACACATTCTACTCGGCCGGTGTCCCAGTGAGGACGCTGGGTCCCGAAGGCGGTGGATTGTGAGATCCCATATTGATTGGAAAGAGAAAAGAGTGCTAGCGAGGACGTTGGGCCCCAAAGGGAGTGGATTACGAGATCCCACCTCGATTGGATAGAGGAACGAAACATTCTTTGTAAGTATGTGGAAGCCTCTTCCTAGTAGACGCGTTTTAAAAACCGTGAAGGAAAGTCCAAATAGGACAATTTCTACTGGCGGGGAGTTTGGGCCAAAGATAGGCCGTCAGAAGATTTTTCCCTGTAGTTTGTAATGATTTGGGGTATCTCAGGTACACCCCAAATGATGACACTAATCAGAGTAAGCGAAACTCCATAAACAGAAATTTGTCGTGTTCTATTATTGTGGTTTGTTTTTGCCGCGATGTCTTTCTTTCTGTTAATCTCATCTTCTCGTCTCAGTGCTCTGCTTATGCGTGGTTTATCCTTACTGTTTGAACTACTCTTTGTACTATTTGGAAACGAAATCAACTTTTATGTATTTGTACTTGATTTCTTTAATAACGTGAATTAAAATTTAAGCTTGAGAGAGGAGCTTGCACCATGTCACGTTCATGCTCGTCCAAGGCGTGTTGTTTATGATCGCATGCCCATGACAAGCCAAACCTTTTATGTCTTTCCATGTTCTAGTGTTTTACTTTTATATGTCTAGGGAGTATGACATTTCGGAAAAATCATGTCTAGGCCTGCCAGACATGAAATGGCTCAGAATGGGATATGACTAGTTGTCAATTTCTCCCTACCAAAGGTTATATAGCTGTTGTTGTTACTCTCTTGCTTGCTTATATAACGTCTCTTTTAAAAATCTCTCTCTGCCCTCGTTTTCTAAAACCTTCTTCTTAAACCGAGGCTAGAGGCTCGAGCATACGTCGCTTGGCCGTAGGCGACGTAAGAACGAATTGGCGTAGCTCACTTGTCGTTAGAAAATGAGTGCCACACAATCGCAAGTCCGCTGCCATCAAGAGTGCAATTGTGACACACCGCTCCATTGGTTGAAAGCTTTTCGTCTTTTTCACAAGGTAAAAACTGTATTGTCATGCTTCAATCCAACAAAAACTTTGAAGAACACATCTTACTGAAAGTAATAAATCCAACATCTTGGGTTTGAAACCAGCAACGTAAGGATGGCTAATTGGGATTTTCCAACAATGACAGTTCTCTGCTCTATCAACTGAGTTAAGGTTGGTTGTTAACCTGTCAAAATAAATTTTCATGTTAAATTCAAGAAAACTAATTTGTAAGAAGGAAGCCGAGTCCTTCCGAGTGTACCTATATCCATCGTCGAAAGCTGAAAATATATCAACCAAATCAAGTACAAATATGCCTTCAACCAATTGGCTATAAAAATCCATTGTCTTTAAACTAGAATCAAACGGGAGTGAGAAAAGTTTTTTCGGGTTGGATTGGATTAAATTATTAATTATTTGAATTGTGTTTGTTATGATTTATAAGGCAAATAAATAAAGAAAAATATTAATAATATTGTGACACTATGCTTGTTCAAGACGTGTTGTCAGTAGCCACGTGTTGGATGTCTCGATTATTCTTTTCAAACTCCTTTTACGTGCTTTCATATTAGATAGGTTTTTACCATTCTTGTGTCAAAATAGGGGTATATGACCGATCACTAAAATCACGTGGACAGATGGTTTTTACCATTCGTTGTTTATTCATTTTTAACTATATAAAAAGTCACAAATTTTATTAAAATATATATATATAACAGATAATAAATTGAATAATATTTGATAAATAAAAATATAATATAAATATTCAACGTAATTTAAAAAAATTCAAATTCAAATTTCAATTTCTTACTTCTTCGTTTAGCATCTATAATTCAATATTATACTAAACCTTTGACCGACAGAAAACTTCATCTATTTTGCCTCTTGGAAGTCAGAGACTATCCTTAGGGTTGAAAATTGGCCACCGGAAGCACCCGAGTTCTTTCTCCGGCGGCTATTCGACTACTAATCAACACGATTCAGCGGCATAACCCTCGCCGATTTGATAAATGGAAGCCAATCGGAATCAGAAGAGGATCAGGAATCGCATTTCGAAAAGAAAAAATGTACGTGACAAGGCCTCTTTCTCTGTACAGAAACTCTCCGTCGTCCCTATCATCGGCGCCGCCGGAGGGTCCGAATTCGGGGATTTTGGTGATCCAAGACGAAGAACCTGCGGAAACCAGATGGTGCTGTGGATTGTTTAAGACGAAGGAGTCCGTGAAGGAACTGCCCTTCCCTCAGAACAAGATTCTGCGGCTTACACATGCGGCTGAAGCAGGAGAAATTGAGTACTCTGAATCGGTACGCGCAGTGCTCATTCCAGTTCTGAATCTCCCCCTCTCTTCCAACCAATATTATATCATCAATTCTCACGGCACTCGAAAAGGGTACGCACCTCCCACTTACTTTCACGATGATCATAATTCTCATTTATTTTAGATATTAAATCTTAATTTATAAACATAAAGTCATTGATTAAAGTTATTATTATTTTGTAATTGTCGATAGATAATTAGGAGGAACTTTTGTTGAGAGAGTTTGTAGTGGGAAAGTGTGAGAGATAAACGTTTAAACACTTTGTTACAGTGATTTGCTACCATCGGTAGATGCAGTCGATCTTGTTTTCCTTTCACTTTCATTACAACAATTGGGTATCAAAATATTTTGATTGTAACAATTAGGTATCATCGTATTTTTGTTGTGACATTTGGCTACAACAATTGTTGTGACATTTGGCTATAACAATTAGGTATCGTCGTATTTCTGGTTGTGGTATTCTGCGCTACAACAATTGGGTATCGATTTTTAGGAATAACTTCACATGATCTATATAAATTTCAATTGAATCGCAGGCTAGCATGCACAAGTTCTAAGGAAGAAGAAACAAGCGGTCGCTGCTGCTACAGCGTTCTGGATCCGCCGCCACAACTTTTCGACCCAAAAAATGCATATCAACAATTCCAAATCAGCGATTACATATACTGTGGAGGACCCAACGGTTACATCACCAAGTCCATGGCACCGGACGGGGTTCCTCCAAAACGCCTAAGCCGCAAGGGCTTGAGAGCATACACCCAACCCCTCAAAAACTTCGAACCCACTGAAGCACTCGGTCTCAACCCCTCCCTACGAGGCCGCCTCCCCGAGATCAAATCTTCGGACCCAGTGGTGGTTGGGAAGTGGTATTGCCCTTTCATCTTCATTCGAGAAGGAGATGTTAGTTCTCAGATGAGTAACTCGCCGTATTACGAAATGACTCTCCGGCGGGATTGGTTTGAAATATTTGGATGCGAGAGCTCCGGCGAAGGGAACAATGGCGTGGATGTGGATGTTTATGTGGAGAGGGAGGTGGCTTCGGTTGCTGGTGGGGCGGCTGCGCGTAGAAGGTATGGCGGCGATGGGTTTGTGTGGTTTGAGGCGGCGGGGGTGGGGCTGAGCACGGCGATTGTGGAGAGGGTGAAGTGGGAGGAGGGGAGAGAGGGGTTTGGATGGGTTGAAGAAGGGGAAGAGAAGAAGATTAGGGTGAGGCGAAGGGAGGAGTTGAAAGGGGTGGGAATTTGGAGGAGGTTTGGGTGTTATGTGTTGGTTGAGAGGTTTGTGCTGAAGAGAATGGATGGGAGTGTGGTTCTTACTTGGGAATTTAGGCACACTCATCAGCTTACAACCAAATGGGAGTGAGATAGACATTGTTCTTCCTTGCCGAGTTATGTATTTCTTTTGTTATTGCTTTGGTTGATCACATAAAAAGACCTTGTGAATAGTTCATGTTTATATGGTTCGATATAGCTCTCATAAATCTGATCTAATTGTCATAATTCTGTTCTAATTAATGGACATTATTGGTATGAGATAATGTGTGCTAGGAGTGGGTTTGACAACTAGTCCTGTCACGGTCATGCTCATCCAAAGCGTGTTGCACATGGCCGCATGCTCATGACAAGCCCAACCGTTTGTCTTTTCATATTCTAGTGGTTTATGTCTTTTCATATTCTAGTGTTTTACTTTTGTATTTCTATTATTTCTAGGAAGTATGACGTTTCAGAAATATCATGTCTAGGCCTGTCAGATATGAAATGCCTCAAAATGTACTATAGGGGATACGACGAGTTGTCAACTTCTCCCTACCCAAAGTTATATACTGTAAGCCGTTGTTATTTCTCTCTTGCTTGCTTATATAACGTCTTTTTCAAAAATCTCTCTTTGCCCCCGCTTTCTAAAACCTTCTCTTAAAACTGAGGTCAGAGGCTCGAGCATACGTCGCTTGACCATAGGCAACATAAGAACGAATTGGCTTAGGAAAGTGAGTGCCGCACAAATCCAAGTCCGCTGCATATAAAGTGTGATTGTGACACCAGGCTGCAGATGTGCGAGCGAGGACACTAGCCGTTAATGATGGTAGATTTTGTGATCCCACATTGATTGGAGAGGGGAACGAAATATTTCTTATAAGGGTATGGAGACCTCTTCGATGTGTTTTAAAATCGTGAGAATGACAATGATACGTAAGAGCCAAACATCGAGTAATATACTAGTGAGGACGATGGCCCCCAAAAAGGGTGGATTGTGAGCTCCCATATCGGTTGGAGAGGGAACGAAACATTTATTATAAGGTGTGAAAATCGAAACATTGATTATAAGGTGTGAAAATCGAAACATTTTTTATAAGAATGTGAAAATCTTCTAATAAACTTGCGAGGCTGATGGACGAAGATACAGAACGGTCCAAAGTGGACAATATCTACTAGCGGTGGACTTGAAACGTTACACGACATAAATTAATTTTAAAGACTTTAAATTATGAGTACGAATTTGTTGGAACCAATTTAAATATATAAAAGTGTTATAAATATATTAATTTACATTTGTCTTCTTGTTGCCCAAACCCGCCTGGCAATCAATCATCCTACGCGCGCTTTTTTACATCCCATACTTGGAAGCTAGAGAGTAAACGCTGCGACAGTCGCGGAGCCGACCAGAGTGAACTCCGAGACGGCGGAAGAGACTGCGAAGCCTTTGCTCGGAGCTCGAAGATGGCCAATGTGATTGATCAAGATCAACAGTGGCTTCTCAATTGCTTGTCCGCCACTCTTGACCCCAACCAGGAGGTTCGCTCATTCGCTGAAACCTCGCTAAATCAGGCATCTCTCCAACCAGGTTCTTGCCGTCACCGTAATTCTCAGCTAATTGTTATCTGTACTATCGAGTGTCTTCCCATATGGAATCATTTTTCTATGTTACCCGAACAGTAAATGAATCGCATTCCCGCCTCGTTGGCGTGGATATGCGATTGTGTTAGGCAGGATTGATATGTCATATACATACGTTTCTGTACTGTAGGAAGATCAGGAACAGATTAAGTTTTCTGGTTCGTTCTGTCTTTCACTATCTGATTAACTTATTCTACTACTGGATTTAATTGTGATTCTTCATTCATCTTAAAGGTTTTGGGGTTGCATTATCCAAAGTCACTGCGAACAGGGAGCTGCCAGTAGGATTGCGCCAGATATCCTTTGTTGTCGTTGCAATTGAGATTCTTAATTTTTCTGCGTGATTTTCTTCCTGTTTTGTTTTCTTTCATGTGCTCTTAGGAAGCGTAAACACTGCAATTTTAATCTTCCTTGCACTTAGTTTTCCGAAGTATGGAAATTATCTTCACTTGTGTTTAAGCTTTCGCTTTCTTTCTTTTTTTCTCTTTTTTGGTTGCCGGTGGTTGTTATTGACGAGGACATGCGATTCAAGATCATCCATGATTTTTGGATAGAACTTAACGCTTTTACCTAGCTGCAGTCCTTCTAAAGCAGTTCATCAAAAAACACTGGCAGGAGGGTGACGAATTATTTGAACATCCCACTGTTTCTGACGATGATAAGGTATCTATTTGACACCAAATGCTGTTATTCGTTGTTTTCACGTCTGCAATTCTCTTTCTGTCTTGCGACATCCAATGCCACTACTTGGGTATATCCTCTCAATATTGAAATTCTACATTTCTAGTTCACTGTTTTTTTTTTCTTTTCGGGCAGTCATTCGCAAGCTTCTTTTGTTAACTTTGGATGATTCCCATTGAAAAATTTGTACAGCAATTAGTATGGCCGTGGCATCAATCGCTATATATGACTGGCCAGAGGAATGGCCTGAGCTATTGCCTTACCTCTTAAATTTGATGAATAATCGAATTAATATGAATGGGGGTGGTGCTTTAACAGTTTATTTCATGTGGTTGCATCCTTTTGCTGTTTCACTTTGTTTAGAGGCTTAGAATTTTACTCTCTCTTCATGAAGGTCCGTTTATGTTTTCTTTTAAATACTTCAACTTACTCAAAGCAAATGATCCATTCGTCATAAACTCATTGGTTTTTCCTTTGGATTAATATTTCATATTTTGGCATACCTTCAATGTGATGATTGTTAACATGTAAATCTTCATTGAATAAAATTTTGATTCATAGTAAATTTTGTAGTACATGGAGGTCTAAGGTGCTTGGCTCTACTCTCTGGGGAATTGGATTGTGAAATGATTCCAAGACTAGTACCTGCTTTGTTCCCTCACCTGTTTTGAATTGTTTCATCCCCAGAGGTATGAATGCATTTTCTTAAAGATGAAAATTTATTTTTGTGATTCAACCTTCTTTAAAAGTTTTTTTGTTGAATGTTGTCAATGCATTGTCATATGCTTTGTGTGATTCAACCCTCTTTAAAAGATGGGTTATTTGAACTCTGCCTTGGGTTTTTTACTTGCAAATGGATGACATAAACAAGGGATAGGTTTGAAAGTGAAATTCAAGAGAACTCATCCTAGTTGGAGATAAGATAGTTGTTGAACACAACTCTCTGTGGGAAACACTCGCACACTTTATTAAGACCAATCGAGAAGAGAGTACAAGACATTTTGTAGAAATCACTACTTTGTGTTGCTTGGTATTTCTTGGGATGATGAACTAGGTAGAGTGGAGGGGTATTTATACTAGATTGTAGTCAATCTATTCCTAAAATTTCTCCATGTTTTTCCTAAAATACCTAAATCATTTTCCTAACTTTATTCCTAAAATCCCTAAATCATTTTCCTACGTTTATTCCTAAAATCCTAAATCATAAATATAATTACTCATACAATGGTTGGGCTTAATCCTATTGGGCTAGTGATGACATTTTAACCATAGTTGCATGTCCGTGATCTATTAGGCTCAAACAAGAACATTAAGCATTTAGCAACTAGCTTTCACGAGTAAGCTTGGGTAAGAGAGTGCGATTGAAGAGGATTAAGGATTGGCCAATTATGAAGACTTCAGTAATATTTACTCTTAGAATCTAACTTGGAGTTTAATTTATTTTAAAGCACTTCCATTTTAAGGCAAAGCAGAGGTGCTGGGTGAGTTCTTTATTCTCCTGCCATCAACCCACTTGATCTTGAATGTGAGAGCTGACTAGGCAAGTTATTCTCTTCAGACCGCATGTAGTTTGTGTGAGATATAAACATTGCCATTAGTTTGTATCTTCATTCACTTAAAAAGGCCGTGTGAAATTAATGTAGAGGTATGGGAATGTGTTGGTCTACCAATGAGCTTTAGATTTGGGATTGTAATAGCCCAAGTCCACCGCTAGCAGATATTGTCTTATTTGGATTTTTCCTTCTGGACTTTTCCTTATGGGCTTTCTCTCAAGGTTTTAAAACACGTCTACTAGGGAGAGGTTTCCACACTCTTATCAGGAATGTTCGTTCCCCTCTCCAACCGATGTGGGATCTCACAATCCACCCTCCTTGGGGCCCAGCATCCTCGTTGGCACACCGCTCGGTGTCTGGCTCTAATACTATTTGTAACCGCCCAAACCCACTATTAGCTGATGTTGTCCTCTTTAGCCTTTCCTTTTGGGTTTCCCCTCAAAGTTTTAAAACGCATCTAATAGGGAGTGGTTTTCACACCCTTATAAGGAATGCTTTGCTCTCCTCTCCAACCGACGTGGGATCTCACAGGGATTCCGGTGTTCTACCGCTAATCTTTCTCTGGAACTTATTCTCGAGGAGATGCTTGATTTACAAAGCTGATATACAGCATGAGATCGGCTTCTACTCCACATCCCCCAACCTCTCCCCCTACAACCGTGTGTGAAAATATAGAATTTAGTTAAAATGAAGGAAAAAAAAAACTGGAAAAAAGAATCTGATCTTGGATCTTTTGTTTGTTAACAGATCAATATTTGAACATCGAGATTGTGTCAAGTATGCAGGCACAACCACTGGTTGCCTTCTCTTTCTTTTTTCAGGGCATAATGATCCTACAAGTTTTGGGTGTGGAATCGATAGTCTTCAGCTTGCTGCTACTTCAAGTTGGCTTACAGGTATCTCTAATTTAATAACTCCACTGCCTTTTGACAGAACATGGTCTGGTCATCTGCTAGATCTTGATGTCATTTTCTTTTAATCTGCTGGTATCATCACCTAATCCTAACCTGTGACTGTTGAAGGCTGGATCATGGACGTAATTCCAATTTTGCAGCTATTATTAAATTCTTTTATTGTGTACTCTTCTCTGAAAGGTTCATAAAGAAATAGATTTATATAACAAATGCTGCTCAATGAAGGTCAGTTATGGAAAAAAGTGAGACCTCGTCACTGTCAACCCTTTGGATTGCAATTGTAAGAGCTCATGCTCACCACCGGCAGATATTGTCCTTTTTGGATTTTTCCTTCTAGACTTCCCCTCAAAGTTTTAAAACGCGTATGTTAGGAACATATTTCCACACAATTATAAAGAAGGCTTCGTTCTCCTCCCGAATCGATGCGGGGGATCTCACAACGCCAGTGTAACTTAAGAAGTTGCTCATTTGAGAAATGTTCTACAATTAGCAACAAATCTTAATGATATGACAATGTGAATGATGGTTTGCTTCCTTTTTATGCCCCATAAATTGCTGTAGCACCCAACAAAAAGAAAAGCTTAAACTGCACCGTAGAAGTAGAAGCATCTAATGCCCCCCCACCCTTAAAGTTCTACTTTGTAGGGTTGTTGGAGCACAGGAATGTTCCCCTTCTTGATTCAACAGCAGCACAGCACAGCAAAATTAATGGCACAATGCCCTCTTTTTGGGCTTCTTTTTTGCAGCTCCCACTGATGTTAGTGGCAGTGGCTTAAGCATCTTGCACCATGTATATTCCCTTCCAAACATTAGTATAATGTAAAGGAATAGGCTAAAGAAAAGAAACAGGGCAGCCTGTTGGTTGTTACCAAAAGGCCATATGATTATAGCTTTGAAATCGTGCAACCTTTGTCCTCCAACAATAGGTGGTAGTAGGCGTGCAAGAGCTTCACGTGTTATGTTAACACAAAACCTAGGCATTGACCATGGCCCACTATTCTCACTTAACTAATGTTCTCAAATTTTATAATGAAATTTAACAGCCAATTTGTTTATAGGTGACATTTCTTTATCTAGCTAGTAGAATCTTTCTTGATCTAATCAATTGAATACACCCACTTTTTAATTATTATTCCATTTTAATCTTTATTGTTCTTTTCAAATAGTTTATTTATCCGGTAAATATAAAATTGAGACCTAATATGGAAATGGGAATTTCGTATAGATTTTACTTCATAGATGGATCAGTATTTTATCTATTTCAAATGAAGTAAAACGAAGTGTTCGTTTTGATCTAGTTATTCTTGTTAGATGAACACGACTCTTCACAATGGTATGATATTGTCCACTCTGAACAGGGCTTTGTTTTGTGCTACCATTGAAGATAGTATTATTTGATTATAAACCATGATCATTTCTTAAATTTGTCAAGTGGGGACTTTCATCCAACAATTCTATCATCAACAAGAAATTGTCAAGTGGGGACTTTCATCCAACAATTCTATCATCAACAGCGCAATCAGCGCTTGTTCATTCTTGAGTTCTTTTATTTTATAGAGTTGTAGGGAGCTGAGTATATTATTATGTTCGTCTAATTCAATAATGAAAATGATAGCTATAATTACGAGACTAAATCAAACTTTGAATTAATTGGTTATGGGTTGACTATGGCAAGATATTGAGGACCATGGAATTACGTTGCAAAATTACTCGTTATAATGATGATTTTAAATTGAGCCGACGTTATGAAAATTACTTTTGTTCTTGAATTCAAACATTTGACAAAATCTTTATATTCAATCTCTTGGGTTGCTATCAATTTGGGACCCCACAATCTGTGTTCTTCGGAAAGCCTTTTTTTCCTATAGGGAACTCGGGAATCAAACTTGGCTGCTCTTTCGAGGAATTTCTATTTCCGTTTCGATCCTCAGAAAGAAACAAAGTGTGGGGGAAATTTTTGACGGAAAAGGTAAGCTCGTCTTCAGCTTCCAATTTCTTCTCCATGGCTATTTTCATGGTGTCGGTTCGATGCTTTTGCTTCTTCAATCAGCTGGAATCCATTGCTGATTCTGAGTACTTGAACCTTCCCCAAATAGTCTGATAATCGCGCTCCTGTTCAAATTTTTTTAGTAGGTATATCTCTGAACTTGTTTCTTCTTTGATTTGTTCGTAGGTCTGGAGGTGAATTTGATTGTTTCTGTGATGATCTGATTTTAGCTATAATCTCTGGATTGTGATTGAAACGAAGCTGGAGAATACTGTTTTGACTTTGTTGAGTTATATAATCTATGATTTTGCTTCGAGGAGTTGAAACAGAACACTGGATGATCCCGGTTTATTGAATTGTGATTTTGAAGTTTGTTTGAATCAAAATATCATCGGGACTGAACTTGTGAAGATTCAATTTGATCGTGTGGTTATCTGGAATATATGCGAATTGAATGAGTTTCACCAAAAGCTGAAGTTTCCAGGTGACTTGATCAACCGGAATTTTTTTGTATAGTTAAGTTTGAGCTTGATTTTTATCGGAAATGGCGGACGTAGCACCGGTGCCTAATTCGTCTCCATCGCCGGCTTCTCCCTCCACTCCATCTACTCCGCCGCCCAGTACTCCGTCACCGTTGCCACCGCAACCTCCTTCTCCGCCGCCGCTACAATCGCCTCCTCCGGATCCTTCTGGCCCTTCAATTCCGACTCCGTCCCCATCAGGCCAGTCATCTCCTCCTCCGCCGTCTCGTCAACCATCTGCTACTTCACCGCCACCTGCTTCTGGAACTCCGCCCCCTGTAACACCCGCATTGTCTCCTCCGCCGCCTCGGACTGTTCCGCCTGCAACTCCACCACCAACTCCGTCCAGTGCTCCACCCCCGTTAACACCGGATCCCACACCACCATCAGCAACCCCACCAGTAAGCTCCCCTCCACCAACGTCATCTAATCCCCCACCACCAAATTCACCTCCACCTCCTGTAGCAGAGCCTCCTCAAACCCCTCCTCCACAGTCATCAAACCCTCCTCAACTCTCATCTCCGCCACCTCTGCCACCACCACCACAAGAAAACCCCTCGGATAATCCATCGCCGCCGCCCACAGCCCCAGTTGAGAATCCTCCCCCAACACCACCATCAGCACCTCCAGAAACTTCACCTCAACCCCCAGCGTCAATACCTCCTAGAAACTCACCTCCACCTCAAAGGCTCACTTCTCCTCCTCCTCCCAGTGATCCCCTAGCTTCAAGTCCTCCCCCTCCCAGTGACCCCCCAGCTTCAAGTCCTCCCAAGCCATCGCCGCCCGCATCAATTTCGCCTCCTCCACCATCCCTTGTTTCTCCTCCAGTATCGTCTAAAACCCCAACATTGCCGCCAGGAAATCCCACGGACGATGGTTCGGGTCCTAATGGCGGAGTAAACTCGAATTCGAACAGCAATGGAGGAATAGATACTGGGGGTGTGATTGCAATTGGTGTAGTGGCTGGAATTGTAGTGCTTGCCATAGTTGGTTTTGTTGTATGGTACATCAGGAAGCCAAGAAAAAATGATTCTGGTCGTAGGGGTTACATTATACCATCTTCTATGGGCTCCTCACCTAAGTCAGGTACTGCAATGTAAATATTATTTCGTTGTCATACATGTTCTTAGCCTCCCTCCCAGCACTTATGATCATCTTCCTGCTTGATAATTTATTGCGACGTCTTTAATTCGATCGTTGTGTTTTCCTTCATGAGCATGACTACAGTAATGTTATATGACTGCAGACCTCTGCATTTATGATTACCATCCTGCCTGATAATTTACTGTGATTTCAATTTAGTCCTTGTGCTTTTCTTAAAGAATATGACCAATGTCATGTCATATTTTTGCAGAGGTATCTTTCTCTTTTTTCTTTTTTTCTTTCTTCTTTTAAAATACAAGAGGTATATTTTTTTATGTAAGAGCCCAAGCCCACCGCTTGCAGATATTGTCCTCTTCGGATTTTCCCTTTCATGCTTCCCTTCAAAGTTTTTAAAACGCATCGGCTAGAGAGAGGTTTCTATACTCTTATAAAGAATGTTTCGTTCTCCTCCCCAACCAATGTGGGATCTCACAATCCACCCCCCTTCGAGATCTAGCGTTCCCGTTGGGACTCGTTCCCTTCTCCAATTGATGTGGGACCCCCCCAAATCTGCCCCCCTCGGGCCCAGCATCCTTGTTGGCACCTCGTGTCCACCCCACTTCGGAGCTCAGCCTCCTCTCTGGCACATCGCCCGGTGTCTAGCTCTTATACCATTTATAACAGCTCAAGCCCACCGCTAGCAGATATTGTCCTATTTAGGTTTTTTCTTTCGAGCTTCCCCTCAAGGTTTTTAAAACACGTACGTTAGGGAGAGGTTTCCATACCCTTATAAAGAATGTTTTGTTCTCCTCCCCAACCGTTGTGGGATCTCACATTTTATGATTGGGAATTAGAGTGTTTAATGATTTTATACTTTTGGATGTGTCATTTTGAAGGGTATTTCAATATTTATTCTAATGTTTTAGTAGGAAAAGATAATATTAATGGAGTCATTGAGAATAAATTACTGAAATTCAATAAGTTATGTAATTTCTTCTTAGAATCCCTTATGAAGGTCCATTCCACACTTCACCAAGACAGACATGGTGGTGGAACATTCTCTCCAAAAGAGTTTGGTGGGTTGGGCAATTCAAGGTCATTCTTTACATATGAAGAACTTTTCAAAGCAACAAATGCATTTTCTGCTCAGAATCTTTTGGGAGAAGGTGGATTTGGTTCTGTTTATAAAGGATATCTACCAGATGGAAGAGAGGTTGCAGTGAAGGAGCTAAAGATTGGTGGTGGTCAGGGTGAGCAGGAATTCAAAGCTGAAGTCGAGATAATTGGTCGCGTACACCACCGCCATTTGGTTTCTCTTGTGGGCTACTGCATTTCAGAGCATCAGAGGTTGCTGGTTTATGATTATGTGTGTAACAATTCCCTTTACTACCATCTTCATGTTAAAGGTATTATTGATTTCAGACCTTTTGACTTATCTCAATACTAAGAGCAGAATTGACCTTTCTCTCATTTTTCGACACTAGGGGACGACCAGCTTGTTCTGGACTGGGCAAGACGCATTAAGATTGCAGCTGGGGCAGCCCGGGGAATAGCTTATCTTCATGAAGACTGTAAGTTTCTATGCCTTTTCCTGTAGAAGCTGCTAATTGGTGTCAACCTTAAGACTTACATTTTTATCTGTGTCAGGCCATCCTCGAATTATCCACCGTGATATCAAATCTTCAAACATTCTTCTAGATGAAAATTTTGAAGCTCGGGTATGCAGGAAGTTTAATTGCCTATGCTAAAATGCTTAGCTTAAAGGGTTGGGCTTCATGCTTTCATTGGTTGTCATGCAGGTTTCAGACTTCGGGCTGGCTAAATTAGCTCTTGATGCACAGACTCATATAACCACTCGTGTCGTGGGAACTTTCGGGTAGGTCGTTTATGATTGGCACCAATACCCTCCTAGAATCTAAAGTCTGTTTAAGTTTGTGCTTCAATAATTATCTCATTTTGCTTCAACAAGAATCCGACTTCTCTCTGTCGTAGATATGTTGCCCCTGAATATGCATCGAGTGGGAAGTTAACTGAGAGATCGGATGTATATTCTTTTGGAGTCGTACTTCTCGAGCTGATTACTGGTCGAAAGGCCGTTGATGCATCCCAACCGATGGGGGACGAGAGCCTTGTTGAATGGGTAATATATTCATGCTTCTCTTGTATGTTTTCACTATACGGATATGATGCAATGATGCCACCAACCTTTTTATGATTTTGTTGTTTGAGTATCTCTTCTTTGAATTTTGTAAGAACTTTATTGCAGCTGCTTTTGTAATGGACTTGGAAGACCACAATTATCATATGACGCATGAATGCCCTTACTAGATCTCTGAATAGCTTGAGAAAGTGTTATTTTAGGATCTACTATTGAAGTTTCATAAGAAATGAACGAAATGAGAATTACAAATGACACAGTCAACATTGTCAAACATTCTTGAATGATAATCTAGTTCCTCTGCATCAAATTGTCCAAACAGTTATTGGACATTAATCGTTGAGAACAATGCCAGAAGATGGCGATTTTCAAACTTCCAAATCAGCCTTTTCTGACAAAGTTCTTATCTTTCAGGGTCGGCCTTTACTAAACCATGCTCTCCACAGCCAAGATTTCGAAAGGTTGGTGGACCCAAGGCTTGAAAGGAACTATGTTGAGAGTGAAATGTTGAAAATGATAGGAATAGCTGCTGCTTGCGTTCGGCATGCGTCCGCAAAGAGACCACAGATGGGACAGGTTGTGTTTCTTTAACCGATTTGTGACAGGAATACGAAAAACCAAAACTCACCCTTGTTAAATCTTGTACAGTATTATAACTGAATCGTTCTTCTCATGTTCTCATTCTCAGGTTGTTAGAGCTTTTGATAGTTTAGCTGCAACAGATTTAAGTAATGGAATGAGATTCGGGGAGAGTCAAGCCTTCGACTCCGGTCAAAAGTCTGCTGAGATTAGGTTTTTCCGAATGCTGGCATTTGGAAACCAAGATTACAGCTCAGACTTTTATAGCCAAGGTAGCTCAAATGCCTGATTGATCAGGAGATTTTGTAGATATAATAGAGAGGGGAAAAATCTCATGACCAGGAAGGCTTTTTCTCATGCTGACTGAAACTCAGGTGATTGATTACAAGAACCTTCATGTAATTAAAGATTAACAAGCCCCCAATTCATGTTCCTTAGATTCATATTGTTCATACATAAATCATATTATGAAAAATAACATAGGAAATGAGATTTGAAGACTGTTATAGGAAAAAGGACAACTTGTTAAATATTATTCATTATTCACATCAGTTCTCAATAGTATTTTTGCAACAATAGTATTGTGAAGTTGGTAAAGTTAGATTGAAAAGGAAGTTGAGTGGCTCTGCTTATCATGTTCTTTTTTTCTTTGTTAACAAAACTAATGTATCTAATCTACAATGAATTCCCTCACTTTTGTAATGTACACAGAAGTTGGAACAGTATACAACAAATGTTCTACCAACACCTCTCCTTTTTGGCTGATTTTGCTTATGTATTTTCTTGCTACAGGCTATGCTTCTGCTCTTGAACATGGCAGATTTGCTCAAGAGCAAGAAAACAGCATCCTATCCAATGTGTACACGTCGAAGAAAGCTTCTATTTTCGACGATAAACAGTGAAGATCGAGACTGATGTTGAGCTTGTCAAATATAAGTCTGGTTTCTTTGTTTTGAGTTGTTCCTTTTGGCTGCTAACCGTGCTGTGGAACCTACACTCGTCGATCGGAATTTGTACTTCCACAACATATTACAGTACTCCTGGTTGTCTAGTTGCCCTTCATTTCTAATCCATAAAATCATTTGATGATACATAGGAAAGAACCTCATCTGTAATGCTGAGTAGGAGAAGTAAGGAATGAGTGTTGAGATCACCACAAAGAAAAGGACAAGCCAGTAGGAAGGGCCAGGGGCAAGGACTTCAGTGAAGATCTTGTAAGCATTGGTTGAAAGGGTGGGGGTCATGGACTCATAAATCAGGAGAAAAATGTACCAAATTGAAATGGAGCCCCAGATGAAAAGATGTTGTATCAAGGTGAAGTAGCTAACAGCGAGCGCCATTTGCAAGTTCACAACCCAAACGACACAAGAGTACATCGTCGCACCCAGAATTTCCCGCCCTGCAGGTTTCCCATCGGAGTTGAATGCCTGATGCTCAAGTGCGCCAGTGCAAAGGAAGAAAATGATCACAGCACTGCACAATCCATTAAACATCCAACTGAGTATTCGGAGCCAGCTGAAATGAACATTCTGCACCCCTTGTTGGTATAAGAGAGGAAACTGCCACATCAAACAAAGAAATGAAGCCTAAAATTTGGCCAATTCCACTCACTTATATGCATCAGGGCCTACTGTTCTTGATGGAAAATAAAGAGATATCAGTTTCTTATGGTGTTTTCTACTCTGTTTTCTCTCTCACGACGCTTCACGGTTGAAGAAACAAGCAAATGGCTTCATGTTTAAGAAGAAATCTAATCTTTACTGGGTCTCTATCTCATCAGTTACTTAATGGTAGGCTGAGTTCGTGAGAAAGGATATGGCAAAAGCACAGCCATAACTAGAACAGAAGAACTCAAACAGCAACCGGACAACGAAGAAACAAGCACATAAACTAAGCATACCTGGAGGCAGAGCCTTGCAGATACGTCCTGATCGAAGACTCCCAAAGCTACGACTGGAAGCGACGAGAAGAAAACGTTGTAAAGTGATAAAAACCAATCATTATATACAGGTTCCCCAGAGAATGATGAGAATGCTTCGTATAAGAATATGGTAAAACCAAAAGTAATATTCTTATAGAAGAAGTAGCAAATCTGCAAATAGAGAGGTAAGCTCATCAATGTCACAACGTAAGAACTATGAAAGATGATGTTTTCTGAATCTCCAGATATATAAATTGCATTACCATTGATGATATCCTTCTGTAGCACCAATGTCCATGCACGAGAAGCAGGCGCTCTAAATATTTAAACTGAGCAATCGCAACGTCGCTCGACATAACGGCCTGAGTTGAAATATAAAAGAACTCGTGAGACGTTGGAAAAAATTATCGAAATCTTTGAATATCAAGTGTTGTCTGCTTTCTTAAGCACCTGCATTCCTTCAGCACCACTAATTCCGACTCCAATATCCGCTTCTTGAAGCATTCCTACATCGTTAGCACCATCGCCGATAGCTAAAGTTGTTTTTCGTGTTCCAGTTTTAACCAACCTTGTTACCTGACACCATGAATCGAGGTCAATATTTTTTCAAGATGTGATTTTTAAGCAAATTAAAGACTAAAAGTGTGAAAACATACCAATGCCTTCTGTTTTGGAGATGAACGGCAGCAAATAACAGAAGCGCAACGTATCGTTAGATCGAGAAACGATGCCTTCATACTGTCCTCTAAAGCATAAGAAAGCGATTTTCCATCAATGATTAATGCAAATGCTTCGGATGACCCACTTGATGAATTTATCTGAGCTCTCCCTCGAGTAATCTGATCACGAACACATTGCCTCGACGCCTAAAAGATAATCAGAAAGATTTCAGCACAAGGAAGGATGCGAGTCGATTGAACCTCGAATAAAAAGAAACAAAGGCATTGCAACATACAGGAAAAAAGAACTATTCTTTAAAAATAATTCCACACTCTCATGGATAGAAAAGATTCAACCATGTTATGTAGTACGTCGAAGGGAAGCCTGAATCGATATTAGCTTCATAAACTGTAACAACTCAAGCTCACTGCTAGCAGATATTGTCCTCTTTGGGCTTCCCCTCAAGGTTTTAAAATACGTCCACTAGAGAGAGGTTTCCACACCTTTATAAGGAATGTTTCGTTCCTCTCTCCAACCGATGTGGGATCTCACAACCCACCCCCTTAGGGGCCTAACGACCTTGCTGGCACACCACCCAATGTCTGGGTCCAATACCATTTGTAACAACTCAAGCCCACCGCTAGGAGATATTGTCCTCTTTGGACTTTCCCTTCTAGGTTTCACCTCAAGGTTTTAAAACGCGTCCACTAGGGAGATATTTCCAGACCCTTATAAGGAATGTTTCGTTCCCCTCTCCAACTAATGTGCAATCTCACATAAACAAAACTTACTCAATAAACAGGACGTAAGACAAACATGTATAGGATACATCGATATCGCAAATCTAAAGTATCAGAGAAATTTTCAAACAATGTACATACGAAAGCAATACATATCAGAAAACAGATGCACACATGAACAGAAACGTTCTACGGAATCGATCGTATACTTAACGAGGATCGAATATAGATTCACCTTGATGATGGAAGTCTTATCCCCTGACTTCTCTATTGCCTGAATTTCTGATGACTCCAGAGTAATGACAATCTGCTTCATATCTTCTCTTAGTAAGCTACAGGCAAAACTGTCATTTTGTGCTCTCAAGTTAAGTATTAATTCAGATATGATACAACTGAGCCTCAAATAGACAACAAGCATCCATACCCAATATTTATGGCAGTCTCCATTTTGTCGCCCGTCAAAACCCAGATCTTAATTCCCGCCTGAGCGAGCCTGTCGATGCACTCGGGAACCTAACACGAATAACACGAAGAAACGTTAACACGAATGCACTCGGGACAGTGGTTCACCATTAGCAACCATTGATACTTCTCAACTCACCCCATTTTGAAGTTTGTCCTCAACAGCAGTGGCACCAAGAAGAATTAGATTCCTCTCAATTTTGTCTGTAAGTTTATCAATCAATGATTCTCTATCTGCATCAACTGAGGTTTTGGCCATAGTGAACTTATGGTGAAATTCTCTGTATTCTTCCTCGTCAAGCTCACGGTAGGCGAGTATCAAAGTCCTCAACCCGGCATCGGCGTACTCGCTGACATGTTCCTTAGTCCTCTCTTCAAACTCCCTTCCATTCTTTCCAAGCCTTTCAAACATGACACTGCAAAAAGAATGGAATCATGGTGATTCTGAACTTTAACTAAAGCGGAGACAAGAATTAGACCAAGTCATTTCAACCACAAACCTGTCTGCACCTTTACAGAATAATATTATTTTCCCCTCGTCGTTTCTTATTATGACAGACATCCGCTTTCTCGTGCTATTGAACTCCAAAACATGCAACAGTTTATATGTCCTGCAAAAAAAAGACAATAATGACATGATGGCGTTTGATAATCAACGAAAAGATAGTAACAGCTCAAGCCCAGTACTAGCAGATATTGTCCTCTTTAGGCTTTCCCTTCCAGGCTTCCCCTCAAGATTTTAAAACGTGTCTACTAGGGAGAAGTTTCCACACCGGGTTTCCCCTCGAGATTTTAAAATGCGTCTACTAGAGAGAGGTTTCCACACCCTTATAAAGAATGTTTCGTTCTCCTCCCCAACCGACGTGGGATCTTGCGAAGATAACCTGTCATCTACGTTTGAGGATGGAAATAAAGAGAGATATCGACATTTTACGTCCACCGTGCAAAGCATGTCAGAAATCAGCAACAATGGCTTAAATTCATCTCATGTGTTCTTAATATATGAAGTTCATGAGGTTGCCATCAACTAAAAGGAACAGAAGAAATAGAAAATAGTCACCTATCAACTTTCTTGCCTAATGAAGGTTCAAACTCATGGAGTGATATGCTTGACTGTGTTCTTTTATAGAACTCAAAGCCTAGCTCCCTAGCTGCAATCACAAACGCTGCTTCATCCGGTGATTCGGCCTCATAAGACACCTCACCACTGTGCTCGTTGATTTCAGGTATCGCCGTATGACAAGTGGCGAGAAGACGAAAAAACATTTGGATGACATTTGCATTAGGCTCATAAACCCAGTTCCCATTCATAATTCTATCATCTTGAAAGTTAAAGCCCTTGACATGTGAAGTTTTCTTAGTGACATCCTCTTGTTGATTCCCCCCATTTACAGCTTCATACAATGGTGAATTCTTCAGTCCACCAATGGCCCTTTCTACCTCTGTGAAACCACGACCATAAGCCGTCCCGGCCACTGAACACTTGATGAACTCCATCGAATTACATGTCAGAGTTCCCGTCTTGTCAGAAAGTACTGTATCAACTTGACCAAGTTCTTCATTCAAATTCGAGGTGCGAGCACGTGCAGGCTTATTAGCTTCTTCGTAGTACATATTAATATCTTGATTGATGAATATGCTCTGAAGAACTTTCACGATCTCGATCGACACGTAGAGTGATATCGGAATGAAGTAGTTATACAACATCAGTGCTGTAAGAAAATGGAAAATTGCAGCTAATGGAGCTCTTTTTGAATCATAGAAAACTTCAGCATCATCAGGCCTGAGATACCATCTCTTCATTTTCCCATTGTTCAAATCATCGCCAGTCACAAAGCCAAAAAAGATAGATCCTGTAAGAGCAAGCAAGAACAGAAGACCAAACAAAAAGTATATAATTTGATCCATTTTCCTCTCGACTTTGCTTCTTTTCGAAGGCGGGTCAGTAGAATTTTGAAAAACCTTTGTGTCGCGACCCGTAAAGACAACAACCCCATATATATAATCTGTATTCCGGAGTTTCGAGTCTCGAAGGAGTAGTTGTTGAGGTGATAGCGGATATTGTTGCTCTTCCAACTCCATACTTCCAACAAAACTGTATAAATTTGCATTTGGATCCTCACATTTTATGATAGCCTTAAAGCTTTCGAAGATCGAATCCTTGTTCATACGCGAAGTTACCTCCAATGCTTGTTTTAGTTTCAAATTTGTCTCACCGTCGAGGTTCATTGTCTCGACATAGCAGACGGCATCCTCGTAACTGGATGAAAGCAAGATGATATCTGCTGGAAAGAATTCATCCTTTTCCACTCTCACTACATTACCCACCCTCAAAGTTTTCCACTCTGTATGAGCAAAAACTCCATTACCTTGATGCACTTTAACCTTTCTAGTGTTGACCTGAATATCCTGAAAGGGTCGAGTAGCCAAAGTTAATATTAAGCAATATAAACCTTGATAGTCCTTAGGCCTAAATGATGAAATTTCAATATGATAATTTGTAACCGTTCAAGATATTGTTCGCTTTGGCTCGTTACGTATCGTCGTCAGCCTCACAGTTTTAAAATGCCTCTGATAGGGAGAGGTTTCTACACCCTTATAAGGAATGTTTCGTTCCCCTCTCCAACTGATGTGGGATCTCACAATCCACCCCCCTTGGAGACTCAACGTCCTCGCTAGCACACCACCCAGTGTCTGGCTCTGATACCATTTGTAACAGTTCAAGCCCACCGCTAGTAGATATTGTCTGCTTCGGCCCGTTACATGTCGCCATCAGTCTCGCGGTTTCAAAACGCGTCTGATAGGAAGAGGCCTCCACACCCTTATAAGGAATGTTTCGTTCCCCTCTCCAACCGATGTGGGATCTCACAATCCACCCCCCTTGGGGGCCCAGCATCCTCGCTGGCACACCACCCAGTGTCTGGCTCTAATACCATTCGTAACAGCCCAAACCCACCGCTTTGGCCCATTACGTATCGTCATCAGCCTCACGGTTTTTAAAACATGTCTAACAGGGAGAGGCCTCCGCACCCTTATAAGGAATGCTTCATTCCCCTCTCCAACCAACGTGGGATCTCACATAATTCAATTCAATATATCACGACAACCATAAGGAAACGAAGCAGATTGAGAGGCCATGAAAGCATCAAGCTCAACTCATCAAGTCATTCAAAAGAAAAAAACAAGCAGACAAAGGAGATAAGTACCTGTTTCTTCCGCCTCCAATCTTCAATACCTTCCTTGATCATAGTAGCTGAAATGACAATAATAAGAGGAAGAATTGCACTGACGGCTGTGTAAGGAGCAAGAGGAGTAAAAGCAAGAATCCCAGTAACTAAGAAGAAGAAATTAGCCACCCTCCTGAATTGCTCAAACAATGACTTAGGCAAGAAAGTAGCCAAAGTATACTTAGTGGTACTAACATGATTGTCAACATAGTTACGTATTTCAGCCTCAATACACTCAGCTTCATTACAGAACACCACTCGAGAAAACCCAGGACCCCCAATTTGTGAGTGATCATCTTTCAAAGAAGCTTTCCCACACGCAAACGAGTAGATCTTGCTAAAATGCAGCTTCCTCCTTCTGCCACCGCTCATTTTTCTCTCACAAACACCAATTTACAGACAACAATGAACATAAACTTAAAAACCCAGTTGAAACAAAGAGATCATTACAAGAAATGATCAAAAAAAACCAGCAGAAAGACAAGTAAAGCTGAGTAATCTCGTATTCTCCGTCCTCGTTCAACAAAACCCAGAAATAGAAACCTTAAAGTTTGTCATGAAATGCCGGAAACCGCCAACGCGCTTCCATGAAAAGCCATCCAATAGCTGAAGAAACAGAAGAGAGAGATTGGAGTAAAAATTCCCAAATATTTAACTCTCCCACGAGACCTCGAAGTATTATACGAAGATTCGAACTCGATCTCTCGCATTTTATCTCAACTTATGAAGAAGCTGTTCTTCAACGAACAAAATTTCCTCGTTTGGAATTGGGGAAGCTCCCTAGAAAGCAGAAAAGACAGAGAGAATGTCATTCGTGTTCATGAGATTTAAACTAAAAGCTGCTACTCATTAGCTCACCACCAATGGCGACTAGGTTTCTGCTCTGAAAGGGTCTTCTCTTCTACATCGGAATAAACAAATTCTGGTCGTTTTCAGACACGATTCCAAGAACATAGGTTTAAATGGTTTGATTATGTCGCAAACCTTTGCCTCTCCTTGAAGCAAATTAAGGGAAATTTTTAGAGCAAAGACCGGATTCGAACACCGCAAAAGGGGTGTCCGAGAATCTGAAGGGGATTTTGAAGAACTGGGAAAGAGATGGGTTTGAGAAAACGAACACGAAAAATTGGAAGGTGATTTGGGCGATGGGTTTTGGGTTATGTTTTTGGCTTGGATTAATTAACTAAGAATACGCCGAGAAGAGAGGGAAGATGCCAAACGTGTCCAATGTTGTCATGGGCTAACCAATCTGTAGTGTTTCATCGATGAATTTCATTACAAATTTTGTTTATTTACAGCTACTTCTTTCATCCACTGGAACTGTCGTGTTCATCACTATGTTCCCACCATTTCTATCCAATTTTAGCTCATGGGTATGTCGGAATCACTTGTTTTTACACATTTTCCTCCCAAAATTTCCCAAGTCTTCATGTTTAATTCATCTCTAAATAATTTTTTTTAATTAATTTTGTTATAAAAAAAACATTATTTTCTCGTAAAAATTTATTTTTTAATTTTTAAATTTTGAACAAAAACCAGTAAGCTCGTAAATGGAGGTAGTATTTTAAAAATATAAATGGTAATTATTAAATGAGATTTAATTTTTTTAAATATTGGTAAAAAAGTATATTTATTTTATAAAAAAAAAGGAAAAGAAAAGAATATTCAACTTTGAATTTGGTCCGTCGATCTTGATTTGGGGATGGCTTCATTTGTAGGCCAGGAGGAACCAAAAACATTACACGATTGCTAAGTTTTCACGTGGGAATATTCAAAGAGTGAGCTAATTCAAAGAGGTAGATTTCCGAAAGGGATATGTGATGTGTGGGCCTACTCGGGATTCATTTCTCGAGTCGAGAGATATAACAATTTATTCGACCAAACTTTTGTCATTCACGACTATTTTGGTCAATGACTGACTGACACGAAACATTTTTTATAACAGTATGGAAACTTCTCCCTAATAGACGCATTATAAAACTATGAGGCTGAACGGATCAAAATGGACAATATCTACTAACAGTGGGTTTGGACTATTATATAACTTTTGGTTTGAGGTTTTGTTGAATGGAAATAGGCCCGAGCGAGATAAAATCATGTTTGTTACTAGTTTTCAATACTTATCTGTCTCCGACGTTATCTTGTTTTCTAGATAAATGTTTTATTTATTTCTTGATTGCCGTAAAAAAGAAGCTTTTTCCTATACAAGAATTGCAGGACTATTGTTTTATTTTGGAATCACGGAAAGCAAAGTTTCAACAAGTCGATCACTTTCCGACACAATTTCAAAAAAAAAAAGTCAGACTTTTTACTTCATTGATTTTACTTTCCTTTACTCAAAGATTCATAAAAATAGAGGCAGGACAAGCAATGTCCATCAGTTTAATTTTAACTAACTAAAGCAGTAGAATATAGTAATTTAGGGGATGATTATGGGTTTATAAGCAACAAATAATATCTCTATTGGTACGAGGCATTTTGTGAGAGCACAAGCAAAGCCACGACAGCTTATGCTTTTAAAATTAAAAAAAAAACAAATAATTAATTGGCAGAGGTTAACATGCAACGGTGCTTAGGCCATGACCAGTATTTAAATTAATTAATTCCCGAGTTAATCTCCAACTTATCAAAAATAAAGCGAAAAAGATAGGAAACAATCGCAATGTTACAATGCCAAAAATAAATATAAATTACATAATATTCCGTAATAATTAGTCCATTTAATCTTTTATAATCGATATATATATATATATATATATATATATATATATATATCAAACTTTTTATACGTGGAGAAGGGAAGATTTAAACCTCTGACCAAAAAAAAATAATAATAATAATAATTGAATATATTAAATTATGGAAATAAATTAATTATAAAGAATTTGGAAAGGACAACCTAATAAAAATAAAAATAAAAAATAATAATTTTAAGAAAAGGCCAAATAGCGTAGATGCGCACTAAATTTAATATTATATATATTATATCTTTTATTTATTTATTTATATATTTATTTATTTATAACTATTTTTAAAGCTTGGTTTGGTTGTACTTTATACCTTGTACTTCTTCCAAAGATATACTCAAGTCCATTCATTGTTTTTTTTTTTTAATGGAATGAATATTTTATTACCAAATAATTTATATTCATTTTAGTTCAAATAAAGCGGTCGGACACGAGGATAAGATAACATTATATTTTAGGTCTAATTAAAATCTTATTATTAGGTCGGATTTTAATGTTTTATGTTATTTTTCTTGGCACACGAGTTTCATCGATAAAAGTAGAACTTCTACTGATACAAATCGTGCATACAGGTAGAAGTTCTATTTCTATCGATGCGAGCTTGTTCGTTGGGAAAAGAGTGAATATGTTGACCCATGGTGTATTTTTTTTGTGTTTTCTTCGGTGCATAAAATTTTTTGTTTGATATGACAATGACTCTTCCAATCAGTCATTTTCCGTATGACGATAGTGTGTAAAAAATTATTATGGCCATTTAATGCATGTATTAGATTTACGAGCAGGTACAATTATGGTAGCTACTTAGGTAATTACGCTTGTAATTAGAGGGCGGGGAGTGGTTATCATGTCTATGGTAGCCATCTAGGCATTATGATCATAATTTTAGTGCATTTAGACATATTTCAGAGACGAGACAAGTATAGGCAACACTTTTTGACTCTAGGCCACTTTGAGAGACGAGACAGATATAGATTGTTTCTGAGTAGGTTTTGAGAGGTGGGATACGTCACGTTAATCTCAACTAGGACACTCTCAAGTTTGTCTTGGTCCCCATGGGACACTTACACACTTTTTTTACCCTTTTAGGTCACTTTAAAGTTTTCGAGAGACGAGATAGATGCTTTCGTACCTCCCAGTACACTTCGATACATTTTAGGTGATTGAGGTAGCTTTGATAATTAGGTTATGTTCGATTAGGTTTGACTATGGCACATTCAAATTTGTCTTGGTCCGCATAGGACGATTCGATACTTTTTTCTTGTACCCTTTTAGACCGCTTTGACGTTTCTAGGAACGAAGTACGTTTTGAAATCATTTCTAGCTAGTTTTAGTCTTCAAGTGCAACTAGATACCTTTTAGATATTGAATTAGCTTCAAGAGGTGGGATATGTCTCGTTAGACTCAACTAAGAGCACGATGAAGTTTATCTTAGCTCCTTAGGACACTTAAGCACTTTAAATACACAGTTTAAGACATTTCATACCCACTTTCGAGATGTTGATAAGTTTTTATTTGTTTCATTTTTCTTGTAAATTAATTTCTTCGTATGAAAAAAAAATGGAAATTTGTGACGATTTATAGTTTTTCTGTGAAATTTTTAATTAGAATTTAAAAGCTCGATGAATAAATTAGTTAGAGACCGAACATGTGAGATATTTAAAACTATGAGGCTAATGAAAATGAGAGGCCAAAGTGGACAATATTTGCTAACAGTGGGCTTGAGCTATTATAAATGGTATTAGAGTCGTCAAGCTGTGTATTAGGCTGTTACAAATGGTATCAGAGCTAGACATCGGACGGTGTGACAGCGAGGATAATTACAATATGTAATGGGCCCATTATAATTACATGTATTATAATGACACGTATGAAACTTAATGTTATATCAATTATTGGAGATGAAAATTACTTTGGTTGAACCAAATGGTCCCAACCAACGGAGTTCCCATTTCTTCCTCACTTCAACCAAAACCGTCCTAATTAAATAGGCATGAAAAGAGCGCGGTGGGGGCAACAATTTTCTCATATTTTGCCCATAAATAAATATTATATTTTAGCCGTTTTGTGATATTCAAATAAAAGGTGATGTATGAATGAACCGAGCCTCCATCTTAATGACAGCGATCCTCAGTATATGATGATAAAAAAAGAATTTAAAGTTACTATCTATACCAACAATGTGTACCAAATCATAATAAGTCTGTAGTTGAGCGTGAATATGAAATAAAAATTAAAATAAAATATTTTTAAAGAATAAAATAAAGAACATTTGTCAACCATTATAAAAGTTAAAAACAAAATATAATTTAGGAATATATATTAGATTGTTATCAGGATTTTAAAAAAAAAAAAGAATATTCAAACTTGGGTGACCAATGTGATGAGGTGGAAGGAAAGCATTGGGCCACGTGTGAAAGTTGGTGAACTGTAATTGATGTCTGGCAACCAACACCGGGGACGATTGGTCGAAATCTAGTGGTGTTGATGCGTTGGATGTGATGGGGGTATGATTGTAATAAATGAATTTTCTGCGTTAATTACTAAATGAAGTGGACCAACAAAATTTCCAACTCAAAAATGTCGGCCGAATAATTATATTCGAATTTTTTATTTTCTATTTCTTCATTTTTTTTAATTCTAGGGGATTACTTATATTTATATTCATTTTCATTAATCATCTATTTGAAAATAAGCTCTCGTTATATTAAAAATTGATTTAAGTGTGAGATCCTATATCGGTTGGAGTTGGAGACAAAACATTCCTTATGAAGGTGTTAAAAACCTCTTTCTAATAGACGTGTATCAAAACTTTGAAGAAGCTGACGACGATACGTAAAAAGCTAAAGTAGACAATATTTGTTAGCGGTGGGCTTGGGCTGTTACAAATGGTATCAGAGCTAGACATGGAGTGATGTGCCAACAAGGACATTGGACTCTCAAGGGGGTGGATTGTGAGGTTCCACATTGGTTGGAGAGGGGAATGAAGTGTTTCTTATAAGAGTGTAGAAATCTCTCCCTAGCATATACGTTTCAAAACCGTGAGACTGACGGTGATATGTAACAGGTCAAGCGGTGGGCTTCGGCTATAACTTTCTTGACCTTCTGGCACTGGGCATACACGGTCCTACGACATTGCGGAGACGTGTTTTTGGTAAACAGTCGCCCGGGCCTCGTCACTGTGACCCCCTTTGTGACGAGGCACCCCTTCTCTCGAAGTTACGGGGCTATTTTGTCGAGTTCCTTAGAGAGAGTTGTCTCGCTCCCCTAGGTATTCTCTACCTACCCACATGTGTCGGTTTCGGGTACAAGTGCTCTTTTGTTGAAGGTTGTTCGAGCTTTTTCTGGAAGTATGGCATGGGTTACTTCAGCATCGTAGCGCCTGGTACTCGAAAAAACAGGGGCACCTTGCGTCCTTGAACCAAATAACCATCTTTCGGCTAACCTAGCCTCCTCCGTCCCTCGAGACCAACAAGGGATAGTATAGGAATATTCACCTGTTGTCCATCGACCACACCTTTCGACTTGATCTTAGGCCCTGACTCAACCTCCATAGACGAACCTTGCAGAGGAACCCTTAGATTTTCAGGACATTGGTGATGTTACAAATGGTATCAAAGTCAGACACAGAACGATGTGCCAACGAATATGTTGACCCCTAAGGGGTGGATTGTGAGATCCCACATCAATTGAAGTAGGGAACATAACATTTCTTATATAGATGTGAAAACCCCTCCAAACGTACACGTATAATATCTACCGGGAGGTTAGAGTGGTGGGCAATGGGTGAGGTAAGAAGAGTCATAATTGTTAGTGGATAAATGTGGCTTTCATATTTGAAATGAGTGCTTAATTTGGACGTTGACAAGAACCCAAACAAGTTGTGAGTTTTGCTAACCACCCCTCCATATTTATCTTTCTTAAATTCAAAGCATCTCATTGTCCAAAAAACTATAATTATCTAATAATTATTACAGTGTTGCATGTCCACCATCTTTCACATCGGTTCGTCACCGAGCCACATCCTACTAGAAAAATAGCTGTAATGACTCATGCTCAACATCAGACGGGAATGATATCTAAATTTAACATCAAATGGCTTCAACATTCATTTGCATCCCCTGTATGGGCCAACACTGATCATTTTAGCATGTTTTATCCTTATTCACATGCTCTAAGAGATCACGAGTACACATGATTGCTTCGAGATAAACCCATTGAGCCATATGTGCTCTTCATTTATTTTAAGACTTTTTAAACAAGTGGGTCGTGTTCAACTATCATTTGGGCCGAGCCATGTTAATAACAGCCCAATTCTAAATATACCAATTGGGCCGGGTCGTATTGATATTAGCCCATTTCTAAATGTTATTTGGGCCGGGCCGAACCCATTTGAAGCCCAAAGATTTGACCGAAAATAACGTCGACGATGAGTTCTGGACTGTTTCACATCGGAATCGGCGAGTCAACTCACCGATTCAAAGCGGCGGCATCAACTCCATTGGCGATACATCTGAGTTAATCTATTCAAAATCCACACAGCCCCAGATGGTTGTTCTACTCTCAGTTTCAGCTTTCGCGATCTCTGAACTTCTCTTCAGGTGAGTCAATTTCCACCCATTTCTTTCACTTTGCTGGAAAGTTAACGAAATTATGTACAACCCTTATGCTAGCTCAACTTTATACTCCATCCGGAGTAAAGGGTATCTTCCTAATTACTTAAACGAGCGACCTATCTTCTTAAATGAAAGATGTAATGGAAACCCATTGCATCTTTCATCATCATCATCATGTTGTTCTTGTTGTGTTTGCTATGCATTTCCAACACACAGATTGCCTGTAGGCCCTAGCCTTTTATATGGGTCGAGGCAATCCACCCTGCTTAAATGGTCGATTTCTAGGAGGTTGATGTTGTGTGGCCGAAATCGGTTCTGTTATACGCTTCCGGAATATGGGCATGTTCTGGATTGTTGTGAGGTTCCTTTCTCTGTTGTTGATTGTAAGGCTTGTCATTGTAGTGAGGGAAGGAAATATAGACAATGTTGTTTGAATTCTGAGGGTGATTTTGAATGCGACGAATCGGATGGATTCGATGAAGAGGACATTGCTGAGGCAATGATCAGTTTGATAAGGGAGGGTTTTGGTAGTCAGGGGAAAAGTAGGTCGTCTAAGAGGGTGGAAGTGGGGAACCGAGGAAAGTCCGGAGCTAAGGAGAGTAGTTTAAGTTCGTCGAGAATAGTAGAACTCGAGAACAGGGCGAGGAGAGGTGTTGAGGATAAAAGGTTAAGTTCATTTGAAAAGATAAGAGTAGATAGAAAAAGAGAGAGTGGCGATCATCACAAGAAAGAAGAGAGGAAAAGCAAACAGAATAGTAAAGTCGGATCGATCGCGGTTGAGTTGAGGAAAAATGGATATAAACTGAATGGAGATCGGTTAGTTCATTCAAGAGGGGATAATCAGAGTTTGAGAAAAGAAGGGTCTACATGTTCATCTTATTATTCGCTTTCCTCCTCTGGGGATATTGAGGATGATGCTGAAGTGGAAGACAAGAACGTGCAATTCGTTGAGGAATTTTCCGGTGGGTACAGGTACGACTCCGTGAGTGATGTAGGAGAGAAATTAGATGGGCGGATCAAGGAAGAATACAAGAGTCAAGGAGATGATGAGAAGGGGCGAGAAGAGGAATCCGTGCAAGGTGATATTACAGAACGGAATCATTCTAATTGGCATTTGAGGAAGAACTCTGAGACGAAACCTAGTCAAGGATCAACACGAGTAACATCCTCTATAAGTGAAACCTCTGAGACGAACTCGAGATTGTCGAGGACTAGGGAAAGTGGTCATGTAAGTGCTTCAAGTTCCAAGAAGAAGTTTGTTGACAAGGAAGAGGAGTTGAAAACGGCGGCGATTTTGAACGAGCCATCGAAACAAAATGTATCACGTAATAAAGTGGGTGGTGTTTATATAAATGAAGGGAAAAAACTTGCTGAAGTATCAGAAATACGGCACGGTAAAGCTGAAGAAATTTCTCGATCTCAGAAACGACTTACTATTAAGAATGAAAAGCTAGAATTAGATGCAAATGTCATCAAGAAAGCAAGCAATAGTAGTCATGAATCTGTTCGTCCTGTCCTTCAAGAAGAAAGTTCGAGACGAACTTCGTCGGAAAATAGGAAAACCGAGAGAGAAAGGACCTCTCATCAGATAAGTCAGTCGAATGCAGTGATTAACGCAAGTGAAAGTACCGACGTACACGTAACTTCTAATCAAGAGGTTGAAGAAAGACATCATCAAATAGGAAATCATGCCATTGGGGAAATGGGTTCAACACAAAAATTTCTTCATCTTGGTGTTATATCAGTAGCCAAAGATGGTAATACCAACACGACCAACACCTCTGTTTCAAGTTCCGAAGTTAGAACACGAAACGAGGAACAAAATGCAGCATCAAACCTCGTGGCTAAAGACAAAAAGTCTTTGATGGTACATAAAGCTTCTCCGAGCGTTATCTCCAGAAAAGGTTCCCAAGATGCCACGAACGTTTCACTGCTTCACGGGACTGATAAAATATCTTCTACGTATTCTGAAAAAACATTTGAAAATAGAATCTTCGAGCAAGAAACTAATAGATCATCAGTGGAAAAAACTGTCAAGGAAACCGTAATAAGAACTGGTCGAAATAATCATCGTGTGGTGCAATCTGAATCAGGAAACGAGGTTAGAGATCATGCAACAAAGTTAAAAGTTCATGGATCGTTTAGTTCAAGTTCCGAAAGTAGTTACCAACGGATTGACGTGAATGAGCAAGAAAGTAAAGGCTCGCAGGCTATGTTAATGCCTCCGCCATCTCAGCTTGTAGCTAGAAATCCGCCACGAACAGATTCTACTAGTGAAATGGCAAGCCAAATAGTTTCGAGAAGAGCGTCAGGAAGTTCGGGTGCTTCCTACGTGCAGTCAGGGGGAAGTCCAGTTTTGCACAGCAAGTCCTACAGAGAAAGCGGGGTAGACGAGAGTACTGGGGAGCCAACCTACCTTGTCAATCCTGGTGATACTCTAGGTTCAGCTGACCATTTAGAGAGGTCGTCTGCACCGTTCGTTGGGGAGTCCATTGAGAAGTCCAGGAATGAACCGTTGATTTCCGAAATCCAGAAGGAAGACAATGTCTCTGAAGTAGATTTACTGCATGAAGAGAAGCATGGACAAAAGAATTTTGTAGATTATCAAACGAAGGACCATGACTCGAAGCTCTCATCACGGAGTTCGGGAAGCAAGGGTCCTTCTGATGAAATGTGGCATGTAATGGACTCGACTACTGAGCAGCAGCCTCCGAAAACTGAAGATCCTGAGACTAGTGCACATAGTGAGAATGCAATTGTCAAGAGAAGTGGCAGATCGTTGTGGAATGTCATTTCAGATATAGTTCGTCTCCGTTGGGCTTCACGTGCCGAAACCTCTGATTCAGCTGTAAGATCAGGTGGAAGAAATTCACCAAACGAGTCTGTTAGTAACGAGACATGGTTCTCTGGCCGTGAACATGAAGAAACTGATAATACAAGAATCGGAAGAACCGCAGTTTCTCAATTCACTTCGTCGGATCGGTTAGAAGAACCGAAAAATACATATCACGAAGTAGATACCCCTCCTTCCCCAAATGTAATGGGGATCGAGCCATCAAGTGAAACTTTGTTAATTTCTGGAGAGGCGATCGTAACAGATGGTAGGAAGGTTGACGTTATTTCTTCTGGTTCGGATATCGAACGGTCATCATTACAACTGTCTCCCCGAGGTTCTCTCGTTATCGATGAAATTTCTCATAGTGGTAAAACGGATGCCTCTGCAAGCAGCTCGGCTGAGCGGATGGGGCGTTCTTCTGATGCAACGTTACTAGAGATATCAACAACTGGAACCAAGGATGGGGAAGTGAAACAAAGGAAGCTTCAAAGAAACAAGCAAGTTCTTAAAGATCGATTTGACGAATGGGAAGAAGCATACATACTCGAGACTGAGCAGCGAAAAATGGACGAAATGTTCATGAGGGAAGCGCTTGCTGAAGCCAGGAAGGCGGCTGATACCTGGGAGGTGCCTGTGGGAGCAGTATTGGTGAAACATGGAAAAATTATCGCTCGTGGCTGCAACCTGTAAGTACTTCAACAGGACGCCTATCTCGTTCAGTTAATCGCTTTCGTTTGAATGTTGACAAGTTCATATTGTAGGGTCGAGGAGCTGCGAGATTCCACAGCCCATGCCGAAATGATTTGTATTCGGGAGGCTTCAAAGCAATTAAAGTCATGGAGACTTGCTGTAATGTTCTGTTACTAATTTGATCACTTACTAGTTTAAGGGGCTGTTTTTGACTTAGACCATTTCGTACGTTCACAGGAGACGACGCTGTACGTGACGCTTGAACCGTGCCCTATGTGTGCTGGAGCGATACTACAAGCACGAGTTGAAAACCTTGTATGGGGAGCACCAAATAAGCTTCTTGGAGCTGATGGCAGCTGGATCAGGTAAGCATTTTACTACCAAACTTCTTGGAGCTGCTATCTTAGGTTCATCAATGGATACTCATCCATTCTCGTTTGCTCTGTGCTTTGTTTGAGTCTTTACAGACTTTTTCCTGATGGTGGCGAGGTAAATGCCTCGGAACAGGCTGAGAAACCTGCTGCACCTGTTCATCCGTTCCACCCGAAAATGACGATACGACGAGGTATATTGGCGTCGGAATGTTCTGATGTAATGCAACACTTCTTTCAGCTAAGGAGGAGAAAGAAAAAGAAGGAAAACACTCCACCTCTGACCATTGCTCATCATCATCATCCATCAAAATTTATTTCTAAGATGCATAATATTTTTCACATATTGTTCTGTTTGTAATGGAAATGAGATGATCAAGAGACCATGTGTTGTTTTGTATGTAACAATAAGCTAAAAATCATTATCAAAACACGTGATTGTCTGTACCAATCCAAATTTACCCCTAGCAAATATTGTTTAGGTTTTGCATTTTTAGAACGAATGTTTAGTTATTCTCTCTAGGATCTCACCGTGGTAGGTCTATACCCTTCGAATCTCACTCTCTAGGATCTCACCGTGGTAGGTCTATACCCTTCGAATCTCACTCTCTAGGATCTCACCGTGGTAGGTCTATGCCCTTCGAATCTCACTCTCTAGGATCTCACCGTGGTAGGTCTATGCCCTTCGAATCTCACTCTCTAGGATCTCACCGTGGTAGGTCTATGCCCTTCGAATCTCACCCCTTTGAGACCTTACGAATCTCACCCCTTTGGGACAGGTTTATGCCCTTCGAATCTCACCCCTTTGAGACCTTACGAATCTCACCCCTTTGGGGCAGGTCTATGCCCTTCGAATCTCACCCCTTTGAGACCATACGAATCTCACCCCTTTGGGGCAGGTCTATGCCCTTCGAATCTCACCCCATTGGTGCAAAAATGTCCTCCCCTTTGGGGCAGGTCTGTGCCCTTGCCCTACTAAAAAAAATGTTCTCCACCCTCTCTCCATTTAAATAAGCAATAAATTCTCTCGTGTCCATACAAGTTTGGTTTGGGGACGGGTAAAATGGACACAAGAAGTAGTTGGGTCAACATCTTCCCATATTCTACCTTTTCTTCAGGTCAACATCTAATATTAGACCTTTTTTTCAGGTCAACATTCCCCTCGTTTTCTCAAGAACTAGTTGTGTAAATAGGGCTTAAGATTTTAGATAATTATGGTGACTTGAAAGTTCATAATGCTTTATAGGTTTCATTTCAAGGCCGTACTGTTCTAGGCTTCGATCATAGGACCAAAGCTACCATAATTGCAAGCATTCGAGCGTAATCCAGCATCATCTTGCGATACTTGGGCATCCGTTGGTTGAGCATTTATTAGAAGATTAAACTGATTCTAAACAATTTTTTTGATGACTTTCACTTGATGACAATCTCTTCCTTGGATTATTCAGGAACTGATGAACTGCGACATGAAATCATTTCCTTCGCAAAAGATTACAAGCGATTTAATGCCACAAATTCGGTTGTCTTTGAAGGATTTAGAATTGCAAAAGGGAGAGGAAGAGATGGAGAGACAGATAAATCGCAAAGAGAGCGCAATGGAGAGGAAGAGAGACCTTACCTGTTCTGCTGCGGTGCCCTGATGAAGGTGATCGATTTCAGAGCTTCCTTTCTTAGTTTTGTTATATTAATCGAGAGAGGTAGGAGAAGGAAATTGTTTTAACATGTAACATTGAAAATCATATCATAAACATCAGCGCAATCGCCAATGGCGGGCGCGCGCTTAACCGCGCGACTGTTTGAGCGCGCCTCGCCAGCTCAAATACTCGATGTAATTCCAAAGTTGATCGTAGCATTGACAATTTTACAACACAATAGAACAATGAAATACAATGGTGTAGCACCAGTTCGTACCTGAACGAAAAAAAGCCCCCGTTCGTAAGCTAATCGATTCAGGAGCCTCTTCGTCCTCTGTGCGGAATTTCTCTTTGCAGATCCATCGTCATCGCCGGAATTACTATCCAGTAACCGCAAGCATCTTACTTCTGCAATACGAAAGATTGTGCCCCTGGAAATGAAATGCCCAAATTTGGTTGCGCAGCAGAGAAAACTGTACAAAAGAAGAACAAAACGACGGATGTTTTTAATGGTTGACCTAATGAAGACGCCACTCATAGATGGATGCGGCCGAGTGTGAGAAGAATTGAAGGTCTGCTTGCCGCTGCCATGGATGCAGGTGTGGCTCATACAGTAGCTCCCGTCCTACTTCGCCAACGACACTTTGTCCTGATAGCAGCAATTGGCGTTTAACAGGTACATTAATATTTTACATCGACCATTCTTCACATAATTTCATGTTCATAAGATTGTGAATATTGATGATATCCACTTTCAGTAACTTGCAGCGTGATTCCTCAAATTAAGACTCAATTAGTTTAATTCTTTCATATCCAAACAAAGTTTATGTTTCAGGCAGTGCTGCATCAGGGATGATTCTCAGGTACATAATGCTTGGTTATTTTCTGCTGCACTTTTGTTTGATGCTAAAATTGTGTGTATTCTGGTAAAATCATAGCTCATACTGATGGAGAAGAACATGATAAATTGTTGTCACAGTTGGTTTTACTTGAGAATTAACACAACTGTGGAATTTTGAATGGTTTTCTTTTCATTGGTGAAAGAAAAAAAAAAATTGTATACAAGTATATGAACTGAACCACAAATAACAAGAATCAAGTGACTTCCTTTCTGATGGTGAAAGGGGACAATAAGATTCCTCCGGAAACTTTTGTTCAGGCATTGATTCGAATTCCGTCTGTGACTGTTGCTGACAGGCATCAGTCTACCTCATCAACTTCATCAAATGGAAGTGGTACTGGATTAACTGCTCTAAATTTTCCAGCATTATTGAGATGCTCATTCTCCAACCTGGGCCATTACCAGAGATGCTTATTAGAGTGAGCAAAAAGAGGAAGACTTAAACAGTTGACCGTCTTAAGCATACCGATAAACCTAGAAGTTTGTAGCTTTTACCTGAAAAAGTTCCACAGCCCTCTTCTAATGACTTCAAGAGCTGCTAAGAATAATCCGGTAACTCTCGAGTCGACATGTCCAAAAGTTGAATGGAGAACAGTTTGCAACCATGCAAGCCTGAGAATAAAATTCAAGCCCTGCAAACATTCCAAAGATTTTGATAAGAATCCACTTCATTGTAGGACGACCTAAAACAAGTGAAAATTAATTCACTTCTAGAATGTGTACTTCACAAGACACCTAAAATCTTCCTATATTCTACAAAGTATTGGGTTCTGTTTCTTTCATATCAGAAGTAGATTGAGAATATTGCTATGAACTATGAGCCAATGAAGAGGAATTTTCCGGAATCTTTTCACTTTCTTCCCTATCTTCCATAGTAGCCATGTGGATTATGTTCAGAAATTCAGAATCATTTTGAGTGCTAAATCTCTTTCGGTTGGTGATTGATGCCACATTAGTGCTAGTGCCTATAGACTTTCTTCTGCTAAAGTTTTTTGAAAGCGAAACATGGAGTGTTATCGTGACTGTACCATGGAGACGTAGTAAATGGTCTTTCTTCGAAGCATTAAATCATTCCTAAGCCATGGATTTTTGGAATTCACTTGAAGCAAACCCCAATCCTTTACAAAGTCCCAATACAATTGGTACACAGTTGCTCCACTTGACATAATCACCACTAGACATAACCATCCAACTCCTTTGGTCTTGTCTTTTTCATATGCCACTTTGGACCCTGCAGCCAACATTGCCGAGACATACTTTCCTAGATTGACGAGGTGGCTTGTCTGCCCTTCATCAAACCAGCGCCTTGCACACTGAAAACGCATAATGCAAAGCCTTGTTATGCTTTGTTAAGAAAAATATAGTGAAAAAAAATGTCAATTATGAATAATATAAAATTTTCACACTGCAACCGGTGACTGAATCCTATACCTGCATTGCCCTCCAGTAGTAAGGTAGAAACGAAACTGCATAAGCGAGGTCTCGGTAATGCTTGGCGTTCATACAGTAGTTGTAATTCTGTGTTTTGTAGCTTCCTGTTATGTAGTAGCAGGCCATGTACTCGAGGTTTCGTAGCATTGGGATCTATACCGGGAAACACAGAATTAGGAAAAGTCATTTTCTAACAGATCTGTCATGCCTAGTAGTTCAGTAATTTGTAGCTAACAATACTTATTTATATACCTGACTACATAGTTGGTCTGCCATGAAGAAGTCCAACATCAGTACCTGCAGAAAATAGTTGAGGAAGTGATGAGAACATTATAAAACTAAACTCGACTTTGAAAAAGAGTTCTAATGATGCATGGTGCAGGTAAAATGATGAGGGGAGGATAATTGGAGTAAGGATTACCTTGTAGAGAGGTGAAAAGGCTATATTTCTCATCACACGAAGGAAACGGTAGCGGCTTGATCGATAGTAAATGTTGAAGGGGCACACAAGTAATAGCAAGAAAAGCTGTAACATGAGGAAAAGATTTCGAAAATCACTTGCCGAAACTTGACTGAATAATTACAAGCCTCAGAGATAGAGACAAAAGTACGCTTTCATGTTGAGAAATTACCAGCAAGAGAAGGCCAGGTATCACTTGAACTTGAGTAATAGAGTACCCTTTTGAAAGCAGTGCCAAATGAACAAACATTACCCCCATAACAGCAGTCATTGAAGTGGTACAAATCAAGAACACATCTCTGTATTTAAGTTCCTTTGTGGCTGATAACTCTAAAATGAAGCTGTAATTTATTCGAGTCTTTCTCCAGGCAAAGATGTTGCAGCCATACAGAAAGAAATGTAAGAACATCAAGCTGAACATGCTGCAAACATGATTCATCTTGTTAGTTACCGTTCATCGACAACGAAAACGATTAAGAAAAGATCTACAAATACTTGCCTGAGTACTGGATATACAGTCTCCATGTACAGTGAGAAAGGGTGCCTTTTGTACGTCCCCATGATATGAGCCATGATAACATAACCCACGAGTAGTGCAATGAAACACCCACTGAACAGTCCTGTTCATGGAAAAGATTATCTTTACTAACTTATGCATAAATGGAAAGTTATTAACGTTCGAACAGTTACTGTTTTTTATGGTTAACAACTCTTGAGTGGAGTTCAAATTTCAGCCTCATTTGGTGAACCAGGGGACAATTTCCTTTTTTGTCCAGTGTCCACCAAAAATAGTGGATTGAGCAATGCCCTTTAGTTCAAAGTTAAGTGGTGTGATGTGGCAGTGGCAGTGCTTTTGGATTTGTTTGTTCATCGATGTCTTCATGAATGATTGGTTAATAGACGCTAAAGATTGCAAGGATTTGCTAGGCAAGATCTCCTGAAAATAATGTGTTAAAGAACTCACCGACTATGAACGTAATGCCGTGTGACTCTTTACGCTGTTTTGGTCTAAGGTACTTCATGGCCTTCCTTTTGTCTTCCTCAGCAAAGTTTTTGATAAATAACTCCTCTACCTCATCTGCTAGCTTTATTACCTGTCATTTCAGAGACTTTAGTCCAATTTTTTTTTACCTGGTTCTAAAGTTTCTGTATGATATAGGTGACTGACAGACAACCATATCTGGCTCCAAAATTTCAGAATTTGAAGCTACAGTGCAGACAAGACCAACTATGAGACCAATGGCCACTTCACATTGTCTGAGAACTTTCTGAAGGGAAGTTTTCAGCCGCTAATGACCTAAATCTAGACATGATCTAATCATAAAATCATGCAAAGATGCTCTCTTTGTTTTAACTTTTTAAAGTTTTTGATTTTCTAATAATTGTACTGAATTTACCTTGTCTGAACTGTTGAAATAGGAACTTTCCACAACTTTCAGATAAATGGCAAGAACTTGTTTTCCAGTGACCTGCAAAAAAGCAGGATCTTGATGATTACAAGCAGGATTTTCAGAGGCAATGATGAAGAAATGAATTATCAGTGCAACATTGTTACTTACTTTGTCAAACTTCTTCAAAATCTTTATGAAGGCAAGCTTGTTCAACTGCCTGAAGAATGATCTCACAGTGATCAAAGAGACATTAAAAAAACGAAACCTCAACAATCTGTTCTTCATTATTACCTGTAAGTTTTGAGAAAGCCCAACCCTTTGTAAAGCTCAACAAAAGCTCCTTTAATCATCTTCTCTGCATGGTGCACCCTGGTCTTGTTAATGTGAAGTTTTGTGCCTTCATTGGATTTCTTTGAGTTCGTTAAATCTTCCTTGAATAAATGGCTTATGGCTGAGAAAGTCCGAGATGGGGTTGTCAGAGGAATGTTCATCTTTATGTTCTTCCCTTGAAAACTTATAACTTGACCCGAGACGGATCTCCATTTTGGGTCCAAGCTTTTAGTTTTCGTTGAGTTTCCCATTTCTTCTGATCTTGGAGAGTCTGAAAATGCCAATTCAGTCTTCTCCAATTCTTCATTGATATTCTCTTGGGACTGTTCTTGCTCTGTTTTGTCCTTATCAGACTCTGCATATCAAAAGAAAACGTAAGAACCATAACAATGAAGCATAACATGCAGTTCCTTAGAGATAAAAGCCATAAAAACTTCCTTCTTCTACAAGTTGACTTAGAGTTTGTGACATCTTCAGATGAAAAGTACAAGCATTGGATATTTTCTAATTAGAGCTACATTATTTTCTCAGGAACTTGGCAGCCGAAACTTTTGCTTGCATTTGAAACAAGGCAAGTTGATGAATTACCACCAGAAATTGTATAGGAGATGGAGCCATCCTCCTTGGAATCCGGCGTGATATCTCTGGTCTGGCACCGGTGCTGGATCGCCGTCTTCAGGTCAATGAGAATCTCCAGTTGTTTCTTCAAGCTCTCTCCCAACTCCATGAACTCTGTCTCCTTTGTCTTGAAGAATTGATTCACCTTATTCAGCTGGAAATCCAAACATGAAAAGAATTCCTTTGCTGCAGCTGTATCAGCAAATTGTTCCAGCAGCTCTGTTTCGTACATGTCTCCCTTGCTAACAGAGGAAGCAAGTTTCTTATGAACCTGTTAGAAAAAGATATCAAATTCATGTTATATTACTACACACACAAATACACAATCATGCAAAATGGGGGGGGGGG